CTACAGTGTGTGTGCTTTATATATATATATATAGCCTATATATATATATATATATATATATATATATATATATATATATATATATATATATATATATATATATATATATCCTCTACTGCGCATGCGGGTCACTTTCAGGTCGTTCACAGTCCTCACTGGAGATCACTTAAAGCCTCATACATTTGGAAATAACGGCCAAGAAAATCTGATTTGATTGAAAAAAAAATCGGAATTGGGTCACTTCAGGCTGGAGCTTCAGTCAGGAAATAACAGCAGTGATTCAGACACAACCTGTCATCTGCTTTTGGGAACATTTCCAAACCGTGTTGCCACTGTGACCCTTCCTTCTCGGCTCTTTTCAAGGTGTTGAGCACACCTTTTGTCCCTCCACCCCTTTCTGCCTTGCCACACCTCTCATTACAGCATGCGGGTCCTTCCTGATAATAAACACGCTCCCGCCGTTCTGCTTGTCAATGTCAAGTTAACCCGGCCACCTTCCACTTCCTGTGAGGGTCAGGAGCTAAACGGGAGGCACCTCTCACTTTTCTTTTACTTTCAGTGAGAGGCTCTGAAGCTGGCGCCGACCATGTTTGCCTTCTAGTATTCTCCTTGTCTATTCCCAGGAGAAACTCAAAGGGGCGTTGAAGAGTAAATATTCCTCTGGGAAGAGGTAGCTGTGCTGCCCTTTATTTTCTCTCGGAAGTGGACTGAATGGGCCTGTGGCGTCTGTTTGGGAACGAAATAAAAGAGACAAGAGATACTGACAGGCTGTGTGTGAAGTTTAGCAACAAAGTAAATTCTAATGCAATCAATGTTAACCCAAAATGTATTTACAAGTGTTGGTGCATTCTTTTCCAGGGGATTTCGGATTTAGAACTATGTTAGAATGAGATAAGGATGAAAAGAATGACATGTATCCATCGTTTGCATCTACTTGTCCTCACAGGACTTGTTGGTCAAATAGATCAAAAACAAAACATTTACAACAAACAGATTTGTTATACCGACTGCCAAAAACCAACCTAGGACACTTTTGGAAGGTGGTTTTAAAGTAATTAGCCTTACAGTGAGAAATTCACCCAGTTTTCCCCCAGACTAGGATTTGAACCCCAAGCCCAATTCTTGAGCCCCAGGCCCCAATTTTATTTTTTATTTTTTTTTTGCAAAATAAAAAATAAAATAAAACAGCCAGCCCAAAATGTTTAATAAAATGCAGAATTATTCCACTTGTCTTGTCCTTTTGAGGGTTATTTTCCTGATCTGTTCAATCACATCACTTACATCAGTTTGGTGCTTGTTTTTCTCAATGAAAACCACAAACTGGGTTTCTTCTAAATTCTTTCCTTTTTTTTAAACTTGCATGGCTATAAAACAAACATCCAACATTTCAATGGACCAAAGTAGAAGCAAGAAATTATTGCAAGTGAAAATAAATTTAAAGATTTATTTTGAAATCTCTAGACTCTTTTGGACACGACACCGATGATTAACCAAGTGTCGCTATGTGTGTTGTAAAACAGAAATCAAAGGGAAACTTCATGGTTTAAAAGAACATAATATTAACATTAATAAGTTCAAATTGAGGTTGAGGTTTGGGTTTGTTTTTGTTTGTTTGGAGTTGTGTTTGGGTTAGAAACTGTCAGTCAAACCTGGCAACCCTGACACCAGGTCTTCATGCTGCACTGTTGGTCCTTTGCTGTATTGACTGGTAAGTGCAGCTGAAATCCATCCCTACATCCATCCACAACAGAAAATACCCTGCAGGTAGAAATTCTCCTTTTCTTCAGTAAAACAGCTTCTGTTCAAACATTGTTTTCCATTTTTGTTCAGGTCAAGGTCAAGTGAGACCTTTTGATCTTCACCAAGTCACTATTTTGAAGCGTAATTGTTGTTGGAACTAAGACTTAGGAAGTGGCAGAGAACAACTCAATGGTCTGTATTGTTTTCTATTTTTAAACATTGTAATTAACTGTTTCCTTTCATCTTTTTTGTTAAAACTTTTCTTCCTGTGCATTTTAATTCTTCACCCTCATCCTCTTCACTGTAAATGTCTTTGTCCTTTAATGTTTTGCTCCTTTCTGTAATTTAGCCTCTTTTTCCATCCTTCCTGTAATCCTATTATTCTTCTTTCTTTTATCCTTTTTTACCCAACGGTCCTCTGTCCCTTCAGCAGGATTTAAGATGATAAGATGTTCATGAAACACCTTATCTTATCTTATCCAGTTTTGAATTTTTTATTAAAACTTTTAAATTTCCTTTTGAAAGTCTTCCAGCAGCATCTGTTGTTTCCTCTACTCACTTTAAGATTTAGTTATTCCAGCCTTGACCACTAGATGGCTCTACATCCGATAATCTGCTCCTTTAATCTAATCCAACAACATAAAACTCTCACAGGATGTCAAATTAACCAAATATTTGCATATTGTCATGGACTAGAGATTTAGAGTCGTGCAGTGATTACTGTGTTTAGTTAATTCTCTAAATATCAAACAACTTTTCCAGTAAAACAACAGTACTTTTAGTCAGAGCGTATTTTAATTCATTCTTTTTTGATCAGAGAAGTTGTGGAATTGTGCTTCAGTCTTGGAATAACATTCACATATAAAGCTATTAAAATAGCATTCATTTTGAGGCCATAAGGGACATAAAGACCAAAAGTATTTGATCGCTCTTGGATTTTTCATGACATCTTGAAAACAGCAGAAGTCACCAGAAGCAAGAGTGTGTTTGCTTCAGTATCACAGCTGCAGATTTTAACAAAACCACTTCAAACAGAACAAAAACAAAACATTTCCAAGAAATGGATTTGTTATACCAGCTGACAAAAAAATAATACAATCTTAGGACACTTTTGGAAAGTCATTTTGATCTACATCAAAACCTTTGCTGTTATTTTTAATAAAAAAGGTTTATCTGTTTGCTCTTTTCAGCTGGGACAACCCTTTACTTAGAGAGCTGTGCTATGAGCAAAACATTAATAACTTTTAGCATATTAAGGCTAAAATTACTGCGTTTTGTTCTTCTAAACACCACATCAAATCACACTACAGGAGTTTAATCTAATCCAGATCATTCTTCTTACTAGAATAACTATATTATGTGTGTTTAATGACACAGAGTAAGTTGCATATAAAAGAAAAAACAGAAATCAGTCAAGAGTCAAAAGTTTTTCTCTTGGACACCAAGGCACTTTGCCCAGAGCGTTACTTCATCAGGGGTTCACAGGAGTGTTAGTGAAATATCTACCATTAGCCACACTACTGTGTTTTCTATTGATTATTTCGAATAATATTCTTTAGAATATCTGAAATATTTGAGAATAAATGCAGCTTGGGAAGTTATGATGCCTAGATGCAACATTATTTGACACACTATTGGTTGGCTTTTGCAAGGCAGCTAATCCAGAAGTATTTATTTTCCTTGATGCTGATTGGCTGTAACCCCAAAATCAGAGATATGGAAGTGTTTATATGGTTTACCCTGTACGCATTAATGCATTTTAAGGTATATTTGGTGTTTGAACTACTAAAACAAGCGGTTCAAAGCATTTTTAAAGATAGGTCCAAAAGTTTCAATGCGGAAATAGAGGGAAAGTTTCAATAGTCATTGAAACTATTGAACTGAAACAACCTCTGATATCACTCTGCAGTCACGATAAGCAGCTGAGTTACATGCATTTGTAGGATAAAACGTGAGTAGGAAGGAACCAAATAATAAAAAGTTGTGTAAAATTGGAGTGCAAAGAGTGAAAGCCAGTCCTCACATCAAGAACCAGATCCACTAAAACTGCGCTCACTAATGCACCAGAGCCATTTTTCATTTCTGCAAGGAAATAGAACAATAAATACAAATCAACTCAAAAAGAAGCAGCACAGGAAAACATGAAAGATGTTTAATGTATAGGTCTGCTAGACCATAAAGAGAAGTTTAAAACCTGTCTTCTTGCAATGTTTGTTTAACAAATGGACTGCTTTTGCAATGAAAGACTGTTTTGTCCTATTTTTTGAAAAGAGATGGGTGGCGATGCGTTCTACCTGAGGGTAACAGTTCAAAGGCAGCAAAGGAGGATGCTTTTGATCAACTAGAATCCTCTGTGCTTTGTTAGGGGATTTCAATGCATAGATGTGCTTTAAACAGAATGAATGGCAGGATTGTACCTTCTCCAAATATTATTTTCTTTGCTGCCCCAGCTACTTCTTGAGACCTTTAAACTGTTAAAGCTACATTAAGTAGCCAAATTATGATACAATGCCATCTGAGAAGTTACCTGAAGGACCCTAAAAACTCTCACAATTCAAAATAAATTTGTCATTATTCACATGACATTATTTACTTAGGATTTTGCAATGATGGATACAATTATGAACAGTTATAATTAATAGTTAGTTTTGGCCTAAAATGTAAGATGTAGAAGGATTTCTTAAAGTTTTGGAAAGACTTTGCTAAAGTAAGCTGAAACACATAAATTGATTTAGATTTTTTTTTTCTTTTGTCTTATTTTATTATTTTATAATCATGTTTTTAAATAAATAATTTTCATTTTAATACAAACATTTTCACACAACTTTACATTTTGGTTCATCTGATGATGTAATTTTTTATGTTTTGATCAGTTACTCAGAATAGTCTTTTTTTTTTTCTTTTACCAAACTGTTTCACTCTTCAGTAATTTCTTGGATGGCTACTTTTTACTTTTACTTGTGTAAAAGTTGAAGTAGTACTACTCTTACTTGAGTACAACTTTTGATACTCTACCCATCTCTGCCAATGTGGGATACAGATACACTCCTTTCAAAGAAGCCTGAAAGATTAAGCTTGGTGTAAAAAGTATGCCAATTTTTTCAATGTATTTACTAACAGATTTGTTTGTTTTTAAGATTAACTATGCATGATTATTTGTGGGAAAACAACAACAAACATTCGTGATGGAAGTCAGACCCCTCTTCTTCAGCATACGGGGTGAATTTGAGGTTCTTGAAACTAAAATAAAACAAGTGGGCGAGGTTTGAGACCAACATGGCGACCAATCAGATCCTCCAGAAGCAGACATACCTGAGCAGCTGCCAGAGCGCGAGGCGGGCCGGGTCGCATTTAAAACCTCTCTCATCGCACTCAGCAGCTCATCCAGCATCAGGACACTTGTCTGCTTCTCTCAGCTTTACTTCTTTTTTTTTTTTTTTTAAAAAAGAGAGAAGCAGCCATGTTCCTCAGCGCCCACGCGTCGTGTCGCTCCCTCATCCTGCTCTGTGTCCTCCTGAGGAGCTGCCAGGCCGTGGAAAATGACGCCACGGAGCGGGTGTTCTCGCACGTGAGTCCCGCTCCGGCCGCGGAGCTGCAGAGCAACGCGTCCCTGAACCGCGCGCGCACCGGAGGGCGAGGACAGGGCGGCGGTGCGGCTGCGCAGGAGCGAGGCGGTGAGTGGACAGGAAGGATGCTCTGCTCTTTTACTGCTTCACCGCAACTCCTGCAACATTCTGTAATATGCATAATGTTAATTAATCTAAATACGGCGAATAGCAACTCTGAGCTCTTGGTTACTTATTACTTTTATTTGAGTAAAAATATGTTTTATTATGTTGTAGTACTACAACAATATGTTGTAGTACTACTTTCATTTGACTACAGTTTTTAGCCACTACCAAAATTCAAAGTTTTGGTAGTGGTCAAACAAACGAAATATTGAATTTAATCAAAGCTTGATACAAAAGCATAACTCAAAGGGTTTAGAAACACTTGCAGCCATGTTATGTCACAATATTTGTGCACTTTTCCATCTGAAATAGTAATAAAATGAAATATTTTTTTTCAAAAATGTAAAAAATAAAATGGAAGAAAACAAAACAATTCATAATAATAATAATAATAATAATAATAATAATAATAATAATAATAATAATAATAATAATCAAACAAAACAATGTCTAATTTGTTTTTATACAATTGTTTACATATTAAACAACTATTTTGCTAATTTGGATTTTGTAATTAACATGAGTGATTTAGTGCCACTATCACTCTTTTAAATATCTGTTATTCAATGTGGCAAATTTTATAGTGAGGCATGCTAGAAAAGTTGCAAAAACCATCACATTTGTAGTAACTTTTTAAAAAACATATTGATATTCATATCAAAATATATGCTGCATCTCTGAATGATTTATTTAAATCCTGAGGAAGAAGCATGATCTTGTTTGACTAAAAGGTCAAAATTAAGCCTAAAATAAGCATTACAGAGTATCACAGCAGATGTGTCCGTCTGTTTCTGGTGCCATAAGATGACTTTTTTTTCTCACTAAATGAAAATTTATTTTTGCACCTCTTGTGCAAACCCAAAATTAAATGAGCATGTTCCAATAGACGTTTGAATGTCTAAATGTATCTCAATCATAAGAGCAGTAAAATTAAGGTAAATATAAAGCAAAATCAGCATAACAAACAAGAACAATAACAAGAATATTGTTTTGAAAACTACAGATTTTAGTTTTCTCTTTTTACATTGTATAAAAGGAATCATAAAAAGGCAAACAAATATCAGTGTATACTAGAGATGGCTGCAGTCCAGATGGATGAGGTTTTCTGCCTGCGCCATTGTTACCCTGCGGCTCTCCTGGTATGAGACCCTGATGGATGGGGATGTTTGGGGGTGGAGGGAGTGTAAGTAAGAGACAGGAAGACAGAGCCCATCCTTGCTCCATTCATCCAACGCTGTCACAGAGGTGTATGGAGATGCATGACTGGAGCAGGAATTGGGTTACAGCCATGGAGGGGAGAGCAGGGGGGACAGTTTTCATAGCCTGCAGGAGTAAAACCTGCCTGCCTGCAAAAGTGCATTCCTCCTGCTAATCCATGATTTTTCTCTTTTTGTCACCATGCTGTAATTATGATTTAAGGAAGAAAGGTCGAGGTGCTATTGTCTTGCATCCTTGTCTTCATGTTTCTAGCCAGAAGCGTCAAATGGATTCCCAGCCAATGTAATGGGAGAAAACTGGAGTCAGAAATCCTGAAGGGGGAATGCTTGGATTGTTTCAAAAATATCTATAGCTGTAAAAATGATCCTATCTGTTCGCCCACAGATCGGAGTCAGATTGGCTGCAGAGAATTGAGGTCCACAAAGTACATCTCAGATGGCCACTGCACCAGCGTCAACCCCATTAAGGAGCTGGTGTGCGCAGGCGAGTGTCTCCCAGCTCAGATGCTGGAGAACTGGATCGGTGGGTCCCGCGGCAGGAAGTTCTGGGCCCGTCGGAGCAGCAGCCACGACTGGCGCTGCGTCAACGACAAAACCCGCACCCAGCGCATCCAGCTGGAATGCCAGGACGGCACCACCAGGACGTACAAGATCACCGTGGTGACCTCCTGCAAGTGCAAGAGGTTCTCGAGGCAACACAACGAGTCCGGCAGCAAGTTTGAGGACCAATCCGTGCTGCAGCCGTCGGTCCTCCAAAGACACAAATCCAAGAGCAAGAAGAGATTGGGCAAGACCCGGCTGAGGGAGAACTGGCATGAGACTGAATCCTAAAATCTGCAACGTCTTCAGATTGACTCTAAAAATAATCCTCAGGAGGTTTCTCCTTTTGACCTTTGGAAGTTGTGGATTATCTTTCTGTGACTTTCATCTGACTCATGCAAAGTCAGGTAGCTAATTTGGAGACTTCAAAGTGGATTCCCAAAGATTTTTGATTTTAAAAATGTGAACAAAAGTGGATTGTACAGTCTGGAGAGTTCCATGTACTAGAACACATTGTCCCATATGGGCTGTGCATATTCTGTGTGTTTATGGAGATCTGCATCAAACTAATGGAAAAACACCTAAACATCTTTAAAACATTGACTGTAAATAGCTGTACATATATGAAATCCCTACTCACATTTTGAAATATGGCTGTGTTTATAAGATTTTACTGTGTAAGAAATATGTTTGATGTAATATATTTTTTGTCGCAATATATCTGGTGAATTCATTTGTTTACCATTTGCAAAAACTTCACTCTTGTCTTTACTTTGTGCAAAATAAATCCAACAATTGATCACATGTTGTTTCATATTGTTAAAAGCTTTAAAGCATTATGTAGATGTGAGAGCTTGAACTCTAGAACACATTATACAAACTGTTAGATGAAATCCATTTAATCAAGATTTCAACCAACAGTTTGTACAATTATTGACTTAAAAAGCAGCCCCTCCTTCAGATCGCTGGTTTTAGCCATCAGGACATAATCAAAATGTTTGATGGATACCAGGTTGACAAAAAGCACACAGAAAATCCCACAATGTCATTATTTATTACATAGAAACAAGCAGATTGGAAGATTTATTGGTCTGGAGGCCAATGCCATTTATTTGAAAAGACATCAGCAATGGTTGTAGTGAAGCAACTGTGGTTGCCCATCAATCTGAAAAAGGTTATAATGTCCAAACAACTTGAAATTCATCCTTCTACAATGAATTTCAGTGTAAAGCATTCAAGACACTTGTCTTGGTTGAGGTCTTGTGTTAAGTGGGAGAGTATAGGTATCTTGGTGTGTTGTTCAAAAATGAGGGAAAAATGGAGCAAGAGATTAATAGGCAGTTTGGTGTATTTTAAAATTCACTCTAAAGTTAATAGCTAAGAAACCCCAAAAGCTTATTATACACCTTTATGTGGCCTCAACACATTTAATATTACAACTCATCACTGTATATTTAGAGAAAAACTGAACAAAAATGTCATGAGAAAGAAAGTGACAACAAGGTTGAATCTGAATGAACCCCAAAACATCCGTCAATAGGACAGCTGAGATAAAAACAAAATGCATGAGCATAATGCACAGCAAAGTGTTTAGCTAAAATCAAAGTCAACAAATCAGCACAAACACCTGATATCAGCTGTCAGGCCTGAAACAGAAGGGTGATGATATGGGTTTGTCTTCCAGCCACAAAACATGGACGCCTTGCAGTCATTAAGCCAACCATGTCCTCCTCTGTTTACCAAAGTATTCCAGAGTCAAATGTGAAGCTATCTGTCCAACAGCTGAAGCCAACAGCTGGGTCATCAACAGGACAATGTTTCAACACACAGCAGCATTTCTACAACAGATGACTGAAAAATGGAAACAATGTGTTGCAATAGGGCTGAGTTAACCGGATTGAAGAACTGTAGCTGGACCACACAGAAGCTGATCAGAAAGAGTTTTAGCAACTTAAGGTGTTCTCTGTTTTTCTATTTTGTCCTATACCTTTGTTTACCATTTTATTTTTTATTTGCATGTACAAACAATAAAATCATTGAGACTGTAAAAAAAGTATCTAAATAATGCTTGTTTGGAATCTGATGTACAGTTGAGATTAGATTTAAATAGTTTTAGATTGTGGTTGATCATATTTAATATGTTATGACTCAAAATCCAAAAACTGAAGCAGGATGTACTTTTTACACAAAGTAAATAGAAATGTACTATGTCAACATAAACAATAAAACTTATTGCATTAAGCAAATTCTGATATATTTCTGTTGGATTTTGTCTTGCAAAAACCACTGTGCCTGCAAATTTGCTACTTAAAATATGTATTTGGAGATATTTGGTGCACTGGTGGAATAGCTGCAGATTTGCCGATAAATATCTGTCAAGTTGACTTGACAAACCAGGATATGAATTTCAAAGTAAAGTAAAGTAAAGTAAAGTAAAGTAAAGTAAAGTAAAGTAAAGTAAAGTAAAGTAAAGTAAAGTAAAGTAAAGTAACTTCAGGCACTATATAAATTCCCAGTATCAAAGTCTCTAATAGCAATACATATATTAATTTAATTAGCAGCAATAATAATAATATAATAATAATAATAATAATAATAATAATAATAATAATAATAATAATAATAATAATAATAATAATAATAATAAACTTCATCTTTCCCAATAGTTATTTTTCTGAATTAACTCTGGGTAGGGACCTCAAAAATTATTAACTGTCATAAATTTTCTAATATTTTTCTTCTTTTTTTAACAGTTAGTTTAGTTTAGCTTGTTTGTTTTTCTTTGTTTTTTGCTTTGGTCATTTTGTCTTTGTATTTGCTAAAATACATTCAAATACATTCAATTTGCCAATATTATCCACAAATAACTAAAATAAATGTATTTCATGAGATCTGTGCTCAAGTCTTCTCCATTATTCAGGCCCTTAATACATGCAATTTTTCATATAATCTATGCTTAAATTGTTTCCGTTATTCAGGCCTTTAATCCGAAACGCACATTGTCTTATTTTGAAAGGTTAGAGCGGAAGTACCACCATTGCAGCGTTAGCTTCACGTCGCGGTTATATTCTCCGCTTCTCCATCCGCGCCGCCTCTCTGACAGACATCCTGCCCATCAGTCAGGAATGAACAGATTTTGGAGAAACCTCCGTTGACGCCCCTTTTACACCTCCAACCGTAAACAGATGGAGGTCAGTCCCGTTTATATGCAGAGTGATGACAGTGAACAGGACAGGCCCGCTTATCCCCGGGTTTTCCCAACAGGCGAAGCCCGGAAGAGCGACCACCTTAAGGCGGGACTCTGCGTGGACTTCCCGGTGTCGGTGGTTCTTCCGGCCGGCGGGACCGGAGAGAGAACCGGACTGCAGACACCAAAACAGTTCTGTCCGTTTCTGGGTAGACCGCTCATAAGCTACACTGTAGAGTCCTTTGAGAGGTAGGAAAATAAACTACGATAAATCCCTTTTAGTTATAAAATACAAAGAAAACTGTTGGAAATATAGTTACCTGCTTGACAGGGATGGTTTTACTAGATGTAGGGCCCCGGGGCTAAATTAAAAAACGTTCCACCCCCAACATCTCAAACTGCATTTATTATTTTCTGCAACCATTCACAAATCAAGCATAATCCACAAGGAATTAGTAAAATGATTGAGACCAAATATACAAATCCTTTCTCTTTCCAAAATCAAAATATCTTGTTTTCTTTTCCCTGCATTTATTGGTGATACAGGGAGAATATTAAAATATCACTGAAAGTATCAGGAAAAAAAGGTCCATTCCATCCATCTTGTCTAGGTATCACAATAAAATTAATGACCACAGAGAACTGATGATCAAGATTATGGTGAAATGGATTAAAATTCTGTTTTTCCAATTGGTGGATGCTCCATAAATGCAAGTAGGTTCTGCAGACACTAACAGGCTTTAGTGTGTTCCCGATGACAAGAACAATGTTAAGAATCATTGTTGTGTTAAACTGAAGTCACCTAAAGATAGAAAATGTATCAAGTTATTAGAAAAGAAACACTTTTGTGTTTTGGAAATTACAGCTCATATTTGTTTATCCAAGTAAAAAGCAACCTGTCTTCTCAAATGAGCAGTACAAATATCATATGCGATAAAGACATTTATTCTGAAGTCAGAAAATAAAAAATGAGTTAAAAAATAAAGGCACGTGTTGACCAGCCCAGATATTTTGAGTCGTCAGGATAAAATTGCTACAGTAACCAGAATATAAAATAGTGCGTGTATTTGGTTGAAACCTGACCCGAAGGTTTGGAGTCAATCATTTTTAAAGCCTGCCTAAGCATAAAAAAATAACAGAGATGCAAACTACTAGACAGGTGGCCAATTCTGGTTTAAAACGAGTAAAAATAACAAATAATTGTGATGTTTTGATGTTTGATGTTGTTGATACTAAACATGCAAAAAATGCTTCAATTCAATAACATTAGCAGCTACAAGATTGCAATTTTCTACCAGAACCCACTCAGTTTTTTATTATTAAAGATCTCAACATAGATAGACTGTGTCATGAGAAATTCCCAGTATTTTCTGATCAGACTTTGAAGTTTTTTCCCCCTCACATCCTGGCATGGTTAACCATAGCATTGTTAGGCTTGCCAGGAAGTACTCCAGGGTGTGTGTTTGCATGGAAGGAGTTTTTTTATTGAAGGATTACCTGTTACAAGAAACGTAAGTGGCTTGTTTTGTGTATTTCAGGATGCTTTGATCCTGCCTTGGCTCAAGTGTCCTGTTTTGGATGGCTTTTATTAATCTCATAACTGCTGTGGGGGAATACCTTGATTAAAGCAGAACAATATAGTGTTTTAAATGAAACAAAAGCAAAGGTTTGTTGTTTGAAGGAAATTTAGCAGTGGTTCCAGTTAGGAAACATTAACTCTATTTTGCAAATGCTATTTTTTTTTTTATTACAGTTTGCTGGTGGAATATTTGAGTTTTTGTCTTTGGCAGACAGGCGGTCATATTTTCAACAGATCTCAGGCTCCATGACGGAGAAATGAAACAGAGGATGTTTACATTACATCTCAATCCCTGGCTGATGATAAAAACTATTAAAGCAACAACTGCTGTTGATTAGATGAGTCCTATTAACCTGTTGCTTGTTGCTTACTTGTCATTAAGCGAGTTAAAGGAAAGAGGCATTAGGGAATTGACTCCAGTGATCACAGGGAGAGATTTTCTGAGGAGAAAAGTCAGGATCACGGTGAAATGATGACGTTAAAAACCCCCAATCTGATCCCTGAGTGTCCGCAGAGTTTTATTTGTGACTCAGTTTTCATATGAATGTATCATAGTTTATAGATGATGGAACAGATCTGATCCAGTATCTGACCAGAGGCCACCAATCCATCCTAGAGTTCATATTTTGGCTGCACAGTCTGTCCAGGCCATTTGCGGCCCTTGCACTGTTTTTTTTTTTTTACAATTTTAACCCCACAAGCACAAATGATTGATTGATTTAATTTAAGTCTTTTTATTTTTAATTGGTACAAAATGATCACAACTTCAAATAGTCCTACAATAGGAAATACTGGTTACAGCGAATGTAATACATCTTTATATTTATATTTTTGGCCCATTTTGTAGATTTTTCAGGCTCATTTTATGGAAATTTTTATATTTACTCTCCAAATTTAGCACTTTAATACTCCACAATTTAATTTCTAGTGAGTAAAACTGTCCTTGAGCCAAACGAAATGAAAGTTCGCTCTGTGTACGCTGTAAAAATAGAAGCAAAAGTCAAAGTATTTTCTTTAAAGAACCAGGATTTTTATTTTTTACACACATCTCTCCTGTGACTTTTACTCAACATTTCCTTTAATTTATTAGAATTTGCTAAATGCAGGAAGTGTTTTCAAAGAAAATATATATTTTTCAGAATTTACCTTTTTTTAATCCAGACTTTAAAAAATTGGATGCTTTTCCTTTAGTGAGGAATAAAAAAAATCTGATTACTTTAATTATTTAATTATAGTATAATATAATTATTAGTTTTTTGGTTAGAAGGAAAAAACACATATTTCTGGCCCGCAAGTTCTTCTGACTTATTGATTTTGTCCCATATGACAAAAAGTTTGGACACCCCTGCTGTAGGAAATTACAGTTACTCAGATCCAGCTGCTGTGTAGCTGCATTTGTTCTGACTGTGCCTACTTCTATCTGTTTTCATTTGCTTCATTCTTGAAGGGTGTCATGGATCCAAACCATTGTGGTGGTTGTTGCTAAGGAAAACACTGGCTTGATGATGGACATCATCCAACGGTTCCAGCACAAGAAGGTCCTAGTGGTACCCGGCGGCTCAACTCGTCACCGGTCCATCTGCAATGGAGTCGCGGCTCTGGGGGAGCAGCGGAGGCCGGCGGCCCACAAACCCAAGGTGGTCATCATACATGACGCTGTCCGCCCGTTTGTGGACGAGGACTTCCTGCACAAGATAGCGACGGCTGCAAAGGAGCAAGGAGTGAGTGCAGGAAGAGCTAATTTAATAAATACACACTTAGGGATGGGTATTTATTGTATTGTTTATGATTTATTGTGTAAAACTTACTACCATGATAAGATTTAGATTTATCATTGTCACAATAAATTCCAATTAATGATGTTTAAAAGCCCCTAGAACTGTTTGTATTGTCAGGATTATTATAAAAGTGAATAAATAATTCATATAGAAATCTGAAAATAGGATAAAACTTTAAGTCCACATGTCCCACCACTATGCAGATTAAATTATGAGGAAAATAAAAAAAATGAATAGGATTTCATCCACCCGTCCATCTGAATAGACTTAATTTGAGTGTTTATTGGAAGCTTGGATTTATTAGTCAAATGATTGTTCTGTGTTCAAGGCTCAGCAAATGGAAAACCGATGAAGTCAGTAAATTTCAATTTTTCCAAGGGACAAACAGTGCAGAGACTAAATGTAATCCCTGTTCAAATGGAGAAACAACCCTGAAAGCCACTCTGTCGTCCTCATGCTTGGAGAGAGCGGTGTAAGCTAAATTAAATCCTGTCTGGAGCTCAAACTTCATCTGCTATTGAGCCTTGAGCTGAAAACCAGAGAGGGTCAATCACAGAAACAAGTGGAAACAAATCCGCCATGATTAGCTGTCCCAGATTCAGATATTACATGGGAAAGCAGGGTGTAAGCACATCTTTACAGGCTTAAAATGTCTTAAATCCATTTTAAAAAGTAAGTTGGCCTTAAATACATTAATCACAGGTCTTAAATGTTGCCTGTAGGTTCAATGTAATTTTTTCTCTTTTGTCTTGCTGGACTTTTTGGTCAGACACAAGTTTGAATCACACACAGACATTTTCATTGCAAGACATTTGAGGCTACCAGTAACTAGCTGCTAATATGTACACTCTTGCTAGCTAGGTTTTGCGTCAAATTCAGATTTTGTATTACCAACCCAACTGTCTGGTGCATTATGGCAATTTAATGAGTTTCTTTTATAACTTTCTATCATGATAAATTTCTTAAATTTAATTCGTAAATGTCTTAAAAAGGTCTTAAAAGTGTTAATTTGAGTTTGTGAAACCTGCAGAAACCCTGGGACTTGAGCCCAATCTTTTACCTGTTTCTGTAAACATAATCACAAAAACACTCCACAGCAGACTGAAAGAGCTGAACGAAAACAAACAGGTTTCATGATTCTAGCTCATTTGAACTAGATTAATGCATCAGTTCATGATGACAAAACATTTACATATATGGATGATTTATAGTTAAAGCTCAACATGATGAAGGATCCTGTTGAAAGGAGGTCATGCAGGTTATTAAAAGAACATCCACAGATCCCGGCATTTCTGATGTGTCTGAGCTTTGAGATGAACTCCCACAGCAGGCGGTCTGGTCCTTATTATCTCAGCAGCACCCAACCTCCTGAGCCCTTCTTTGGTAAAATGAGCAGATTAATTTCTATCTCAAAAGCAGCCAGAACCCTTTGAACATAGTTGCTTTCCTCTATCATGTATCCACAATGCTAGACCAGAAATGTTTCATTAGAAGCAGGCCATGCACATTTGGTGTTTTGTTATAAATCATTATTTAACTAGTTGCGTAAGTCAACTTATATGCCATCTAGTAACTATTTTAATATTTTTTCTTGCGTTTTTAATCAAACCGCCCTTCTTTGGGTTTTAATTTTATTAAACCACATGTCAGTAATCCTCTGAACTGCATTTAAGAGCCCTGCATAAACTCTGTGTTATTGGAAGTGCGGATTGCTCACATTGGAGCGATCCGGTTTTATTACTAGGATCTGCAGCGGCGTGTTGTGAAGAATCACAGCCTGGTTGATGCATTTTGTCAAAATGCTGGAGCAGAAAGAGAACTTTAAACCGGCTGTAATGAAAACTTAAAATATAGAGTTGCTAAAATCTCCTAATCCCTGTTTTCTTCATCTTCTCCATATATGGCAGCACTAGTCGTAGTTGTGATGTAACGTTAAACCAATTGAACTCTCACTCCGTCTGAGTCTTATTTATTTTTCTAAAAGCACAAAATCTTACCAAGTATTTTTGGTTTAGCTTCTGGTGCAAATATCTTAATACACTTGAAATAAGACTAAATTAACTTAAAAGTAACTTTTGAGCAAGATACAGAGGCTTGTTTAAAGTAAATAATTCCTTAATATTGATGAAAAGTACTAGTTCCATTGGCAGATTATTTCACTTATTACAGTTCAATTATTCCTATGTTATGTGTTAATTTATCTGCCAATGGAACAAGTACTTTTTCATCCATATTAAGGAATTGTTTAATTGAAACAAGTGGCTAAAACTTGCTGAAAAGTTACTTTTAACTTGGGTTGTCTAATTTCAAGTGTGCTAAGATATTTGCACTAGAAATTAGACCAAAAATATTTGGTAAGATTTTGCGTTTTTGCAGTGAGATGACAAAGCTTTACTTCATGTTATAAACTGGTAAAAGTGTTTACAAAAGCCAGTCAATCACCTCCAAACTCACTGCTTACTGTTCCTGTCTGCAGCAACCCACATTTACGTGGTACAGATTTGTTTTTGTGCATTATACATCGCAGGGAACTTGCATGTGTCTAATTTTCCCTCTTACAAATATTTTGGTGAACATTATTTCTCTCTAAACGCATTCTTGACTTAATGTTTCATAATAAATTCCAGATCCTACCGTCTTTTTCCACACAGGCAGCTGGAGCGATCAGACCACTTGTTTCCACTGTGATCGCCACAACGTCGGAGGGATACCTGGATCATTCGTTAGAGCGAGCCAAGTACAGGGCTAGCGAAATGCCTCAGGGCTTCACATACGATGTCATCTGTGAGGCCTACCAGAAGGTGAGGGCGGCTTTCTAAGTTACTGGGGTTTGATTCTTCTTTATGTTTAGTAGCCTTTTCTTGATCTAGAAATGTAGAAATTTCGGGACAAACCTTTCTGTACGATTCCCATTTCAGTTCAGTGTGCTGAAAGCTGCAGAGTTTCAGTGCAAAGCCAATTTTACAAGGAAATAAAATCTTCTTGCTGTCTTCTGTTGGAACTCAGTGCAACATGCTGACTGTGACATATTGCTGAAATGACTGGAGAGCTGAGTCAGACTCTGGTAGCGTACTGAACTGGTTCAAGTCTTACTTAAAACAACATTGTTGTCTTAATGTCAATAGTAACTTTTCATTGGAGTGAACAGAAGTTACATGCAGGATATGGTTGTTGTAAACGATTATTTTAGCAATCGAGTATCCTAATAACTATTGAATAAAAAATTTGATAAAGTAAAATACTGGTAAACCCTACCATAACAGCAGCGAGGTTTCCCCCAGGAACCGGTGGATGGATGTGAGTGCAGTCATTCATCCAGCGTCCCGTCGTGTTTTCGAGTTAAAAAATGTCTAAAGTTGACAGGAAATGTGAAAATATCACTTGATAATTATGTATTACTCAACGATTTGAAGATTAACACCTGAACACCAACAATAAAGTCTTGAAAAATGCAAACATTTTAAAAAGATTTAAATAAATAAGCAATGCTTAGCCTGGTGGGGACACAAGTAAAGCCTGGTGAGCAGTACTAATATCTTATATCAACATTGGCCCAACTTTTCATTTTGTTCCGATGTCACTGGCCAGTTCTTTCTCTGATGCACCTGGAAAACAAATCACACGCTGAAACATTTAGGCACCAACAGACGCCTCTGCAGGACAAAAATGGAACAAAAATCCCCTTTTGAAAGACAATAAACCCTTAAATTACCTTAACCTTCAGGTTGGCTCGTGTCAGGAGCTGAGTGCAGCTTTATACGTCTACCTGCATAGAAGAGAGAATTTAGATTGATCTGTGCAGGATCCACTCAGAAAGCAAAGAGCCTTGTGTCCTTAAAACTCGGCAATCGAACTGAAACTAAAGATGTAAAAGTCAACGTTATTTATTTTTCAGACATTTGGAGTTTGCAATTTCAGCCTTGATTTCTGCTTTAAAAGAGGCAGCAAACTTTTAGCTCACAGCTGAGGTATGCCTTTAGCTGGAGCGCCATTTGTCTGAAGTTATTTTTACTCCTGGCACACACAGATCTGCAGATCGCTTTGAAAGCTCCATTGGCTTCAACGTTTTTAAGAAAATGAGCTCACTCTGGTGCTGCAGTGTCACAGATAGTCAGGTTGCAGAAGGACACACTGTCGGCTCTGACTGCGCGTCCCTCTCCTCCTTCTCCTTCTCTAAAGTCTAAGGTGTCTGTCAGGTTGAGACTGTAGGACATACTCATGAAAAATCTCAGAGAGCGTCAGATTTGGAGCCTGACATCCATTCAGAGCTGAAGAACTGAGGGGTGAAAAGACAAAAGGGGAGACACTTTATCCAGTCTTCTGGGAGGGCTTTTGTATTTAGAGAAAATGCTAAAGGTTAAATTACCTCAACACAGAGACCATAGTTTCTCTCCTCTACAGTTACACAGACGCTGAAGGAAAAGGCCCATCTATTTTCTATTTTATCACTCAAATATTACTGATCATTAGTTTAAGCTCAACAAAATACCAACCTACTCACTGACTCACAATACATTAAATCAGGGGTGTCCAAAGTGCCATTTGTGGCCCTCTGAAGGATTTTGGGCGGCCCAAATGGAGCACAGCTGGTTGATGCAGATCGACACTTTTCAACATTTTTTTTTCTTTTACAAATAACATCTGATAAAAAAAATGCTAGGGACCAAAAACTGATTCCCATTTCTTTATGAGGATTTTGCATTTATCTTAATTTTTAAATAACTGGAAGCACAAACAATGTCCTACTATTTCTCAAAACACAAATCTTAGATTCAACACACAAAATGTAGAAACTGTGAGTTTGTATCTACACATCCATTTTCTACAAACATCTGACCATTTCGCTCATTTGAATAAAAATTAAATTGTTTAGATCATTATTGATCAGCTAAAATAATAATAATAAAAAAAACAACACACCAAACATTTATTTTAAAATGTTATATAGTTTTTGCGCCTCCAATACCTTTCGAATTGTTCATTTTAATATAACTGAAATTGTTTAGATTATTATTGAGCAGCTACAATAAAAACTTAAAAAACTCACCAAGAGTTTGTTTTAAAAATGTTAAAATAAAGTCCAATGACTTTGGCCCTCATGGTAAAAAGTTTTTACACAATTCCGTCATCGAGTTGTAAACTCAATGCAAAAGTACGAGTACCCATCACACTTTCTTCATATTTTGTCGCTTTTAAACTTCAGGCATCAGTGTATTTTAGTTGGTTTTTCTAGATCAAAACCAAAGTGTATAGTTGTGAATTAGAAGGAGACATTTGTAATTGCCAATACTTAACGTTTCACTGCAATTACAGCTGCGAGTCTTTTGGTATATGTTTCTACCAACTTTCCATATCTAGTGGCTGAATTTTTATTTTCAAGGCTTACCACAGATTCTCGGTCAGATTTAAGAATGGGGGGTTTTGTATTTGTTTATTTTTATTTACCCTTTAGTTAACCTGACATTAAAATCTGACCAGGAAGTAACCAGGTGGAAGATTCAATCTAAAAGTTTCACATTGCAAAAACGTTAAAATCATTGTGGTTCAACTGCAAGAATAGCAGTTTAACTGTAGAAATCTTTAAATGAGCCTAAAACGTCCCACAGAGGCCAAACATGTGTGGCTCCTCTAACTCCTCTATTTTGGTAGAAAATGCAAATCTACCAAATTTATGGAAGCTTAACCTTTTGAGAAGCCAAGTTGAAAATCACAGTGAGAACAAGCAGAGCTGCACAAGTTCAGGAAAACATGTACTTGCAGTTCTTTTGCTGAAAGATTTGATTATATCGATTACATCACTTTTCGTGACTCTTTCTTTTTTTTTTTTTCCTTCATCATATTTTCCCCACCACTTTTATCAGCTTTAGTATCACAGTTATGCTGAAGTTGCATGCAAGAAGCTTGGAACATAATATCCTACCAAATACTCCTGTCCACAGTGATTGCAGTGCTGCCTCTGAATGCATCAGTGACACGAAATAATTACTTACTGTCCTCACTTTTTACTGTATTTTGCATCTTATAGGCCTACATGTACTTCAGGTTAAATGTACACACGTCCGTTCTGCTGAGTGACAGAGACAAGGAGCCATAGCATCACTTAAAAAAATCATCCAGTATCGTTTAATGTCTTGTAGAATGATGTGGTTAAAATGCCTCAATTAAAAACAGTCTTGGACATTTTCAGTGTTAAATCTGAAAGATAAGAGAGCAGTTATAAGGCCAAGAAGATTTCAACGGCCAAAGAAAATGGAGCTCTGAAGTGAAAAATGTGGTGACAGCAGTGTTTTATTCTGAGCATTTTCTTTGCAAGCCCTGCCACTGATCACTTTGCAGACAAATAAATCAAATGCAAAAGATCATTGTGAAGTTTACGATGTAGCATGCAGAGCAGGAAAGTCAGAGTATAGTAGGTTTTTAAAGTTTACCAACAAAATTCAAATAATTGGTAAAAAAATTAGTGAATATTTTGGTGTTAAGTATTTTTAAAGCAGAATCCGATTTTTTAGTGGATAAGGACAAAACGAGGATTTATTCACCAAACATTTCTAGGTTGATTTATGCTGCAGATATGGCAACTCAAGCATCGTAGCAATCCTCAGGATGTTAGCGTGTCTAATTAAGGCAAAGGATTTACAATCACTTACCTAGGTGTTGCCGTGAACCGTTTTTATCTTTTCTGCCAAGCTCTTCTCATATTTTAGAACCATTACTCCTGTAAACAAGTACTTTATAAGAATTAAGACACATATTTTGTTGTTAACGATAATTTCTCTGTCATGAATTACGCCGTCCACGTGGCCCCTCTGCAGTGCACCGAGTCAGACTTCGAGTTCGGTACCGAGTGTCTCCATCTTGCTCTGCAGTACTGCGGCACCAACGCCAAACTCATCGATGGTCCGCCAACCTTGTGGAAGGTGAGCGTAAAAACGACCCGCTTTCGGATAGTACTGATCCGTTAAGTGAGACTTTGTACTGTTTAATCAACAGAAATAAAGGTTTTTGAATTTTAAAATAATTTTACTTTGGAAAAAGAAGAAACGCGGAGCATGCTTTGTAAAAATGTCTTTATATGCTGAAACATGACAGCTTCCAGTTTCCTGGGAACTGACTCAGTTAAACCAGTTCTGTCTGAGGAATGGGGCAAATTTCCAGCAAAATGGTGAGAAGATTATGGAACAAAATCCACAAAATCTGATCCAAACTGCAAATACTACAAAAAAATGTTTGAAAACTTCTGTGAATCTATGTGCAATTCTATAAAAAATTACCTCCCTTATAAATTTTGGCATTTGGTGAATAGAAATAATTTTGGCAATCTCAATTTAACAAAAACAAGTCAGATATCATTTAAAAATATATTTATTTTTTAGCACTTGAACCACACTTGACTTGTACTTACAGAACCTGAATCTGTGTAATCGGAGTAAAAGGGGATTTTAATGATTTACGATTGTTTGATTTATCACCTTTACCAGCTCAGGTTTTAGCTTCTGTAGCTTAGAGGCAACATTTCATCCTTGTGAGGGTTTTAGGAAATAATTTGAAAATATTTCTGCATGGATGTGCGTGAATGAACTACTTTTGTTTCTACTTTGACTAAGCAACTGTTTGTCCTCCAGGTGACCTATAAACGGGATTTAGCTGCTGCAGAGTCCATCATCAAAGGTGACTTTCCGTCCTCACAACCTTCTTTTTTACACGGCCTGTTAAGTATTTCACCTGGAAAGTATTCACCGTGCTTCACTTTTTCCACATTATATGTTACAGCGTCATTCAAGATTGAATTAAATGAAATCTCTTCCCACAAAATTGTGCACACAAATACCTCATTATGACAATGTGGGAAACCTTTGGGGATTTTTGCAAAAAAAAAAGAAGAGACAAAGAAATTAGCTTAATACCTCATTTTATTTCAATGTGATGCCACCAGATTAGCTTTGCAGTTCTTCTCAAGCTCCATCAGGTTGCATGGAAGATCTCTTCAGAAATGCAATCAGGTCTGGACTCTGGCTTTGGACATTCTCAGAGTGGTTCTGATCCTGTGTTGTCCTGCTGACAAATGAATCATCGCCTCAGTCTGAGGTCAGGAGCGCCCTGGGGCAGGTTTCCAACCAGGCCAGGATGTCTCTAAACATTGCTGCATTCATCTTTCCCTCTGTCTGGACAATTCCTGCTGCTCCAAAACGTCTCCATAACATGATGCTGGCACCACCGTGCCTCGCTGCAGGAACGGTATTGACCCGGTAATGAGCCCTGGTTCCTCCAAACATGACGCCAGGTATTCACTCCAGAGGTTTCAATCTCTGTCTCTTCATACCAGAATCTTGTTTCTTGTGGCCTTAGAGTCCTTCAGGCTCCTTTTATTAAGGAGTGGCCGACCAGCCATAGGAAGAGTCCTGATGGTTTCAAGCTTCTTTCAGTTACAAATAATTGAGGTCACAGAGGTCACTGGGACCGCAGAAATGTTTCTGGATTTAGCTCTCAAGGCAATCCTGTCTCAGTGGTCTAAAGACAACTCCTTTAATACCAAGCTTAGTTATTACAAGCTTGGTATTAACTCTGGGACCTTTTATAGACAAGTGGGTGTCTTTCCAAAAAGACAGACCAATGGATTAAAAAAATCCACCCAGACCGTTTTTAACAAATTGATGTTTATTTGGTGTCTGGAAAATAAACCTTTTCAAAAGCCTGCTGATTAGTAAGTCACATTTGACTGGCACTGCGCCGTTACCTAGCAACCCTAGCCAAGCTGAGCACCGTTACCTAGCAACCCAAATGGAGCTCCATCACTCTTGCATACAGCTGGTTTCCCTTCTGTATGAGCTGTACAATGGCTGCTGGAGGTTTTAGTTGTTGACTTACCATCCAGAAAAGACTTGCTGTATTATTGTTGATTTTGCAGAAGGCTCTACTTCTGCTTTTCAAGGCTGTATAATCGCACATCTGTTTTTAGGTGTTTTTATTTGCGAGTGTAAATGTTAAGTTGGGGGTCATGGCCAGTAGCAGCTCATTTGGATTTAATGTGACAAGAGACCTTAAAACATCTGAAAATAGACAGAACTGACCACAAAAATACTCATTATGTAGGAAAAATTTTGTGAAAAAAAAAAAAATGAACAAATTAATTAATTAGCAAAAAATCTCAAGAATATTTCCACATTGTTATAATGGGGTATTTGTGTTGCAGTTTGTAATAAGGCTGTAACATAAAATATGGAAACATTGAAGCACTGTTGATGCACTGTGTGTGTGTGTCGTTCAGAGATCTTTGTTCCTGTAGCTGAGTTGTACGGTATGCATGCATGTCTGACAGAATAAATGCCCTGAAGTGAGCAGAGCTGCGGTGCTTTGTTTCTTTTTGTGTGGTCTGTAGCTAGCAGTCAATAGGTGACAATAAACCAAAATGACCCGTCGCCATTCTCTGACGGGGGAAATTCTTTTTAAGCATTGTTTGGCCTGAGATGAAGAGGGCGGGTGTAAGCAGACGCTGAATACTGGGGAGAACAAGTTAGGACAAGGGACACCTTCACAATCAGAGGAGAGGAAATAAACACAGCCCCATATTTCACCCTGCCAGCACCTGGACCAACAAGTACCTGTTTGATGGTGACAAGAGGTGTGCGGTGATAATTCCCAGAGCCTCTCAAGTGAATGAATTCATTGTGTGTGTGTGTGTTTTTTTTTTTTTAAAGACGTGGAAGGAAGTTCTCATATCTGTCAGTTTGACTAACTGCTTATTGCCTCGGTTGGTGTGCGTTCGCATAAACGACTGGTTCTTTTATCAAGCGAGACATCTGGATAGGAGGTCTAATTTTTATTTTTGTGGAGTCTGCGATGAGCTGATTGTCCTTGATAACTGTTGTGTTTTTATCTAAAGACATGTAATTGTATTTCGGCTGTGTGCCAGCTGGTGAATCATTGCTGTTATATCCGCCAGCTCACTCAGTGAAATCCACTTAGTCTGTAAATCAATCAGCAGCTCAGAGGCACATTGACAACAATACAAGCTGCTAACTAGTTAATGGAAAATGTCTAAATCTGATAATAATTAAAAAATGTGGGTTTGCAAATGAAACTTTTACTATCTCAAAAGATTAGCAAAATAATAAATGTGTTTCTCAGGCAGATTAATTTTAAAAATCATTCTAAATAAATAAAACACATATAGTTCCAGCAATACAAACTGCTTTCATAGTAAATTTTACTGTTGTAAAATAGCATCCAGGTGATATCGCCATGAAAAAGTTGAATATCTTGTTAAGCGGACATTCCACGATAACTACTTTAACCTCGCTCGAACTTTTTCCGCTTAATTTATGTTACTATTCTCTCCACCTACTGGCAGAGCATTGGTATTACATTGTTTTTCTTCAGGTTTTTAATACAAAATGAAAATATATCTGACAATAAAAACAATATCAAATGTATAACTATATAATCTTTTATACATTGAATCTTTGATTGTTGGAGATTTTGGTAACAAGGCTGAATCAGGATGCAGGACTGTGGTAAAACAGGACATAGCTTGTTGTAAACTTTACTAACTTCTTTCTAATTAAAAAAAGCAGAGGCAGTAGATATCAGACAGACTGTTAGATTAATCACAAAGCCTTAATTCTCTCATTGGCTTCTTTGTTTTCAGAGACTTTGTCGCAGTCAGCTTGCCTTATAACCGGGGGATTGGAAGCTGCTGTGGCTCTGGCCAATGTTCTCCAAAAAGCTTTTGGAGCTCTGGATATGGTGAGTACTGCTGCAGGATGCCAGCTTTCCATAACTACAGTTACAATGTTTAATGTTTTGCTCACTAATTTGCTTTGAAATCTTCATTTGATGAAATAAGTAGTTTTGTTCCTGCTGCCAGTCCTCCTTGGTGCTTTAACTACTGCTGCTGACTGAATCTCAGAAAGAGCAGGTGCTTTTTATTTTACACTGTTCTCCTTTGTCTCTTCTCATATTCATTAAACTTTCCCAGTCAAAACTTCATGTGAGCTCCATGTGGGTGGCCTAGTGGTGGGAGTTGGTATTTACAGTCAGCCGTGTATCAGAGCCTGTCGAAAATGTCCACACTCCATTTTCCCCCTCATTTCTTCCCAAACTCCATCTCTCTCTGATTCAGACGGAAAGAGTGAACTCTGGGAGTTTCCCTGATTAGCTGGGTGTTTATTGATGAATTCTTACCTCCTCCTTAATATTATCTCACTTGTAAAAGACAAATGGTCAATGTTCACCCCTCTGCCTTTCTTTAACATCTGTTTTGAACTCACGGTCCTTTTTCTTGGGTAATCTAAAACAGCGTCCAAATGCAAACAAGTAAAGACTGACAGTTTTTCATATTAGATATGGCTGCACAGACCACATAAACCTTTGATATGTGAAACACTTTTCTGCACCCCAAGAACTGCGGGATTTCCGTTGATCAAGTCTGAAAATCAGAAACCTCCAACTCAGGGCTCTGAAGCTTCAGTCTCAGAGCCTGAGACCTTTAGATGAATATCTTTTCAGCACAGTTACATCAAAGATTTTCATCATTAGGAGGACGTAACTCAGGCATTTGATTCAGCTCTGTTGGAGCAGGACTGCATGTTTCTACCTACGCTGTAAAGGGATGAAAACTACTCAGGAATAAAAATAGAAACTGCTTTTTGTGAAACATATGAAAGGTAACACGTTCTGCAGCCGTAATGAGAACATGAAACTGATCCCTGGCAGCTGCTGACAGGTTCAGATGGCTGTGATGCAGAAAATGTTAAAAATCTCAAGAACTTAAAGGTCAATGTGACTTTATCAATACCTGCAGGTAGATTTGCCCAATATTAAGAGATATCGCCAAATTATCAATTATCAAAAAGTTGATTGATCTTATAGGTAAGCGGCCATTTTCCTATAAAAATGAGTTTTCTCTTGTATCTAGAGGGTCAACATCTTTCAATATGTTAAAGTAAACAAAACATTATTTAACATTAGCTGTATAAGAAATACAAAATAAAATTTGATTGACTGAGTATGGAGGAATTTTCCTGCCATAATCCCAGAGCACACATTTTCAGTCTGACAGCAGAACGTCATGTCTTTTGTTCTCAAAACTTTTAATACTTTTGCTTATATTTCTATTTTGAAAGCAGGACTTCATGTCTTTCTTCTCAAAACTTGTAATGATTGCACTCAAAACTTCTCCTCACACTCACACTTAGTCTCTGCTTGGAGCAAATCTTCACTTGCCAAACTTTCTGCTTGCTTGGTGGGATTTTCCTGCCATAATCCAGGAGGAATATTAAGGAATTAAAAGTCAACTAAAAAGTTACTTGTAAGTTAGTTTTATCTTATTTCAGGTTTGCTAAACAAAAATACTTGGTAAGATTTTGTGTTTTTGCAGTGCAGTTGTTTGACATCAATTAAAACAAAATTCAAATATATTTTTTGTTATTTGCACCAGCCTCTTTTCTAGAACAAGGATTTAAACTCTGGAAGCACCAATCTAGAATCTGAGCTCCACTTTTCTTTAGCTTCTTGTAATCCTTGTTGTTCTTTCAGTCATTTGAGATGATTAATTATGTCTTGTCTGTTTTGGGTACGTTATCTTCAGTCACAGTGTCTGGTTGGCTGTCGCCAGTCTGTCAGGATGTGAAAATTTAGAGTCCAGACCTGAACTCCATTGAGAATCTGTGGAATGCACTGAAGAAGACTCGACACAGCAGTCCATCATCGTCAGCTTTGTCAAAAATCCCAAAACTCCTGAAGCTGTTTACTTTGTGACGGGATTTAGAAGCTAACGACAGAACATTCGACCGCTTTTTGTTGGTCTCCGAAACGACTCTCCTCAGATTTCTACTGTATTTTACCACATGTTCACAACACCCTAAGCCAGTCCTCATATTTGGAGACATGTCTCCTTTATCTTGCACATCTGTATTTATCTTCCCTGGATGTAACTGCTGACAGTAGAGATTGGTGGAAGAACACTTTAATGTTCTGCAGTGATCTAAACAGTTCATCGTCCTTTAAACCCGCTCCAAGTCCTTCGCGGTGCTGAACAGAGTCTCGGTGATGTATTGGAGCCTCTGTCGGCTCCTTTGGATCGGCTGTCTGGAGAGATTCCCAGCTGCGCTCAGGTGGCCTGTGGGGCCGAGGCTTTCCGGTGTGCCTGTAAGGAACCAGATCCATCCTTTTCACTGGGTTTGGAAAAGGAGGAAGAATAATGGAGGGGATGAAAGACAAGTACAGAAGGCGGAAGATGAAAAATTACTTTTGTCCCAGCGCCATTACGTGGATCTAACACAGGGATAAGCAGTTTGGGTTTGAGTGCAGGTGGAGAAACTGGCGGCGCATGCTAGCAGAGAGGGGAAGACTATGGACTACAATGATTTGGTATTTCTTCAGATTGGGAGGAGAGTTGTCAGTAACATGTAACAGACTGCGAATGTTACGGTAAACATGGTGAGGTCTTTAAAACAGTCTTTCAACCTTCTTTTTGCCACATAATAAAGAGGCATCAATCATATTTTACTCTTAAAAAAGACTGAAACAATAAAATAAATATTTTACAACTTAGTAATTCTGTATCACGTTTCTACAGGCATCCAACCTTCACTGACCGGTTGGTGCTTCAGTCAATGCTGGGAATACCTTAAACCTTTCTGTGAAGCCACAACTCACACCTCTTAGTGTCTGTGTTTGGCATCACAACACCTTCCAGTCCAGTTATTTTCATGCGTGTTAATTATCTGTATTGGTACGTTGCACTTTTACTTGTCCAGCTTTAATGAGTTCTTGTCCAACTGATGAACAAGTCGTTCATCACTTCAACTTGAAGCTCATGCTAGTTGTTTTCCTCGTCTCCTTAGATCAGCACCGTCCCGCTGTACTTCCAGAAGCAATATTACAGCAGAAATATGTTATGGTTTCAGGTTTCGTTTTAAATTTAAAACTTGCTGCAACTTCAAAGTTCCTGCAGTGTTGAGAGCTTAGTGGTTTCTCTCCAAGCGTGATCTTAAACAAACATGTCTACTTCAGGATTTCACTGCCATCCTGGTTTAAATCATGCCAGTTTCTCTGTTCAAAGCTTGCAAATCTTTACACTTTGCACTGACCTGATTTTCCTCCATAGACAGTGAGCTGTTATCTATCTCCGCTAGCCCCCAACACATGTTTCCCATAACCATTACACATTTTCTATTGCTTTCCATTACTTCGTTTGGGTAGAACAAACTGTGTTTCAGTGCCAAAGACAGCTTCTGGATGTCTATTATGGTGTTTATTTTATGCAAGCATGACATTTCAGTTTTAGAGCGTAATTAGAAGCAAAACAGAAGAGATGATTGGTAAATGAATTCATTGGGTGACCTGATTGCTTTATGCCGCCAAGGCCAGAACTCACTGGAAACATCAGTACCTCCATGTTGGGGCTGTTTCTGCATAAAAGCTTTTATAATTCCTGGATGTATCGTGATTTTACTCAGTTTTCAACATAATGTAATTTAACTTGGCTTGCATGTAGTTTTTACTTTTTAATTTTGCGCAAGAAGTAATGTTTTCTGACAGCAAGAGGCGAAAAGAGCAATAGTGACTACAGTCATAGTGAAATGTTTCTGCAGACACAAATGGTTTTAAAGGCCTTTATTAGCAAATAGACCTAATTTATCAGAAGAGTTTATACTTAAAGTGTTTCTTCGTCTTCTGAAGTTGATCTGTTTGTTGGCTTCTGGGCCAAAATTTGAATGTTCAGATCTTTGTTCTGCTTTTATTACATTTCCTGAGACATTGTTGTTCATCATGTTTCCGTGGAGCATTAGGAGGAGTTTATCTTGCAGAATACTTTCATACCATTCTTCATTTGTTGCGATGTGCTTGTGTCCTTGAATTAGGAAGAGACTGCTAGGCTCTGGTAACCTATTTTATTAACCTCGGTAATTTTTCAACCACATTCAGACATTAACAGATGTTTTCAAGAAGTCCGCTTTATACTTTTCAACTGCAAAATGTTTGTTTCGTTAGGTCTTGTTGACACTTTCTTTTCTAAATAATCATTTCAAATAAAGGAATCCAATGATGTCAAACACATCTGCTTCTCTTTTATTGCAATCAGTCCACTAATCCCTCTAATCAGTCCCCAATGCTCTTTTTTTTACAGAATCACCTGCATGTGATTTATGATTGTAGTGTATTTACTGGATCATCAAGAAAAACACTGTATAAATGTTTGTTTTTTAATAAAATAAATGTCACAAGTAGATAATTTTCTATGCATTGAATATCCATAAATTACCGGACACATTGTGAACTGTTAGCATAAAAGGTAAAGCTGGAGAATTTGCAGAACGCATCATTTGCATTGTATAATGACGAAACCTTTTTTTTCTACTACTGCAGATGACCCATAAACACCAACATATATTCCACAAGAACAGATACGCTCTCTTTCAGGTCTGCAAGAACAAACTGGCATCAGTCTTTTTCTTGCAGCTTGATCCGGACACATCAACTGTGTCTTGCAATTATTAAACAGAAATGCTGCAGCAGGAAGAACCAATGAAACTTCCCAAGAGTTCTGCACTTCAATTTTTGTGAAGTATGAACTGTTCTGCCAGGGAGAACGTTTTTATCTTGTTCTTGCCACCTTGACTAAAAGAACTAGAACAGGCTTATGGAGCAGGCTTAGGCTTTTAATTTCCGTAATCATGTAATTATAAACGGCAGGAAAGCAGGTGGTTGTAACCAAAGGAGTGGAAGGGACGAGAACCAGAAGGTTCCTGAAGCACTGGAGTCAGTTTTTCTCTTGACCTCGAATGCACCAGTCATCATTTGAAGGTCTGAAATATCCCTGCAGGAGCTGAACGTCACGCCAGATCTGATGGGCGACAACGGCAGGTATCTGCTGGAAGACTGGAACTTCATTAAGGTTTCTGTGAGTTTCCCTTTTAATATAATAAAGTTTAAACAACAATTATCTGCACCCTTCTTCTTAATAACTGCTTTCCTCGATCTCCAGGTCGATCCATTTTGCCCTTCAGAAGTGGAGGCCTTAATTGTGGCGTTAGAGGCAGAAAACCGAGCTCTTCTCAACCCGGCAGTGATCATCTGGGTGAGTTAACAGCCGGGACTCTGCAGCCATGTCGACGGCTTTGATATGTGTGTTTTAAAACCGATTTGTTAAGACATTTCCTGAACCTTTATCCTCCAGAAC